GCTGAACCTTATTTAAATTTCATCATTATTCTGTCTAACGTCCTTTTTTTTTCTTTTCTAGTGTCTTACTGAGGATCCTACATTGCATTTAGTTGGTATTTCTTTTGAGAGGAATATTTGCAGTTGCGAAACCAACGTGCATCATCCCATTCTCTCTTTCTACTTTTTAATAAGTCTACTTTTTATAAGAAAAATTTTTCAAAAACTTGAGAGAAGGTAGCACTATACTTAAAGAAGTATTCCCGGGGGCCAGTAGGTAGCATGGTGTTTTACTCCCACATGGCCAACTGCAGTTCGAGTCCCAGTCCTGGTGGCTTGCTCTCTCTCTCTCTGTTTCTCTCTTGGGTGAGCAAACATGCCCTGAAGCAAATTACAAAATAATAATGATGATAAAGAAAAGTAAATATAGAATTCTTTTAAAAAGAAATATTCCTTAAATCTTTTCTTTTTCTTTTTCTTAGTTTTGTTTGTTTGTTTGTTTGTTATGAGAGAGAGAGAGGGAGGGAGTGAGAAATTACCTTCCAGGGATGATTTTCATCCCCTTCTCCTCCGCTCTTCTCCTGGGATTTTGGGTGTACATACATATGCACCCAGTGTGATTTTTAAGCTGCCATGTCCAGGGCTCGAACCACAGTGTTAGTGACATGGGATCCAATGCCTTAACCTCCATGCCACCTGCTGGTCCAGATCTTTGATTTCTACATAACTGCATCTCCTACTAGACTGTACATTCCTTTGGAATGCTTTTTAATTTGCCAGGGTACAAATTTGATAAATAAATAAATGTATTATACTTCCAAAACATTTTGCAAGGTCTGTAGTTTTGTGATTTGTCCTTCATTCAGCAGTGATGAAGAACAACCTACTTATTTGAGCAAATGTTATTACTGCTAAGTAAAATTTACATGGGGGTTCATTTAACACTTACCATATCCAGCTTGCCTCGGTGCTCAACGAGGCTGGAGCATGCGTAGGATGTGAGTACACAGGCAGCGAGTGACAAGTACGTGTTCACGATGGCCCTGTACTGTTTGTTTCCGGGTTCAGCGATGGCCGAATTAAAGCTGGGCCAAAACATCCATAGAAAAAGAGTCCCTGCAGTGAACCACAGGAGAAAATACTAGTTCTGAATATGGAAGACAGTATAGAGGAGGCAGCTTGTTTTTGTTTTGGGACAATGACAATATCTCTACTTTTAGGACTAATTATCTAACCGGAGAAAATAGGAGTATTGAGCCGGGATCAAAAAAGCAATATTGGGAACCAGCAGTTAGCGTAAAGGCTATGTCGCTGGACTCCCACATAGTCAACTGCGGTTCGCGTCCTGGACCCAGTGGCTTAGAACTCACGCCGGGCGCGTATGCGTGCGTGCCCAAGATCCCGAGAGGAGAATGGAGGAGAAGGGATTGTGGCATGACCATCTCCTCTGGGGGGTGATTTCTCGCTTTCTGTCTCTCTGTCTCTCTCTGTCCGTCTGGCGAGCGCACGCACCCTATAGCGAAGAAAAAAAACCTCTAAAAAAAAAAGCAATATTTAAAAGATATATATATATATTTTAAATATTGCATTTTTTTTTAGAGGTTTTTTTTCTTCGCTATAGGGTGCGTGCGCTCGCCAGACGGACAGAGAGAGACAGAGAGACAGAAAGCGAGAAATCACCCCCCAGAGGAGATGGTCATGCCACAATCCCTTCTCCTCCATTCTCCTCTCGGGATCTTGGGCACGCACGCATACGCGCCCGGCGTGAGTTCTAAGCCACTGGGTCCAGGACGCGAACCGCAGTTGACTATGTGGGAGTCCAGCGACATAGCCTTTACGCTAACTGCTCTCATGAGCATATTCTTTTTTGAGCATCTTCACACTCATGTTGGAGTCAACCTTCCCCTGGTGCCTGACAAGGATCAGGCAAGTTCGTCTGCACTCACCAATCATTGCAAACAAGTCTGAGTGGTACACAGACTCCTCATTGTCATGCCCCCTTCTCAGGCCAGATCGATATAAGACACCTGCAGCAGCCAAACCAAAGTAGGCCCCAAAGGCATGGATGACCATTGATGCTCCAGTATCAGAGGCCTAAGAAGACAAAACGGCATCCATGTAAATAGAGATGAAAGTGGAGTTTCTTTGCAGAAGTCCATGAAAAAACTGCTTCATAGGTTAAAGAACAAAAGTAAGTAGAGAGGGAAACAATGTGTCCAAAAAGGGGGATAAGATGGGGTAGTAAAACTTTTTAAAAGTAGGCCACACAGAAGTGACTGCATGATGTGACTTTTCAAAAAATTACTAAACTTTTCTAAATCTCTGGCTCTGTAAAATGGGGAAATCTAACTCAACTAAGAGATCTGTGGTGAGACTTAGATGAGACCACGCGTTTAAGTACCCTTAGTGGGCCTGCAGCACACATTCTAGGTTACTTTCATAGGTCATGAACGTTCTCGGTGAAATATTATGTGTTAGGCTTCACATGAAATAAGTATGATTTGCATCCACTTGACATTGTGTTAAAGTGCACTTAGTTGGCCCAACCTCATAGCACAGTGTTTAATCTCAGTCCAGTGAACTGAAAAATATGCTGGGTGTGCATGTATTAGTGCCCAAGGGATGGAAAAATGGAGAAAAAGGGGGCGCCACGTGATCACATCCCATTAGAGGATGTTTTCACTTTCTCTTCTCTCTCTCTCTTTCTCTCTCTCATGAGTTCATGTGACCTCTGACAATGAAAAACACTAAATCTATAAATACAACTCCTACATTATTAGGAGTGAATTTTTTTTTTAAGTGCCCTTAATCACAACCCAAAACCTGGAAGCTGGTTCTGCCACAGTGGCACACTGGGTAGTGCAATTTTTTGTAATGCTGGAAGCCATATTGGAGGTTGGGATCTGGTTTCTGGTACACACCAGACGTACGCATGTACCTGTGATCCCGACTGGCTGAAAAGGTTCAGGGGAGGATGGCCCTGTTGGGGGTGCTTGTCTTTCTCTCTCACACTCTATCCCTTTCACCAAAGAAAGAAATAAATGTACCTAAACAAACAAACAAAAACAATAACAAAAGGCCTATGGCTTTAAAAAGTCAGAGTTTTTCTCATTTTTTTTTCTCACTCCGATATATGAGTAATATAGAAATCAACTGGGGGTCACGATTCATTTGCAGAAATATATATTGTAATTCCTGTTTGGGATGTAATCCAGATTTGACCCAGTTTTCTAATTTTCCTCCTTTCAGAGGGAAAGTCAGAGCTTCAAGCCTGAGACATTGCTCTGAATTTAGTAAGACAGGACAATTATACAGATTTATTATTTATGTAAGATTTTTAAATCAGTTCAAATGGAAATAAAAAGGGTCTCCTGGTCATTTTTCTTCTTTGACTAAACATAGTCAGACCCAGTCCCATGAACGATCCACACTTGGTTGGAAAGAGTCCAAGTATTATTCCAGCATGGCTGACCGTTCTAGCAACTCTTAGACTTCTAGAAACATTTTATCACCTCCCAGCTCAAGAACCCTGCCTTGCTTCACCAAGTGGTTTCAGGGGGGTGGGATATGAAAATTAATTGTGCCTGGACTTCACAAATACCATGGGAGTCAGTGTCTCTCTTTAAATATTCAGGTATTGTAGGCAGAAGAACCTGTCCTGTTTTTCCCCCTGGAATCATCAAATTAGTCTTTATGTGCCTAACACACATAGCTTTGATAGAAATTTATCATTGATAGGCAATACAGTGTAATGAAAGACTCATGGAGTTAGAAAAATCTGGATTCGAATCCAGAGTCAGGCGAGTCCCTTAGCATCTGGGATTATCAGATTTTGTTTATAAATGGTAATAATAATACTATCTGCCTTACAGTATTGTTGAGAAGCTAAGATGAGACAATATTTACAATAAGCACTCCATAAATGATGGCTCAGTATCATTCTTTTCTTTTCTTTCTTTGATTTTCTTTTTATTTGCCAGACGGTGCTTGGGTTTGCAGGAGAGAGAGGGGGGAGGGAGGGTGAGAGAAAGCATCTCCCTGTCTGGCTAATTGCTTTCTCCTCCTGGCAGTTTGTATATCCACACACACATTCCCAACAAGTTTTTGAAGCTTGTGCTGCATGGCTGGCCATGTGGGATACAGCAGCCTTAATCAGCATTCCATGGGCTAGCCTTCAATATCGTTATTTTTCCTTGGTACCATTTTCATCAATGTTTGTTCCTGTGTAATGTGGGTGCACATTGCATGTGGCCAGGGCTGACACCCAGAGCTAGGTAATTAAAACTCTTCTAGTCCTTACCTGAAATATCTCAACAACCAGGTATTCATTGCCAGCAAAGACAGCAATTTCTAGAATTGTCATGATCAGCATTTGAACTGGACTTGTTTTTCCCAAAACAGCTCCAAAAGAAATTAGAACAGTAGCTGTACTGAAGTCTGCATTTATCATACTGAAGGGAGAAAAAAAAGAGTAGACTGAAGAATAATGCACACCCAATAAAACTGTGAGTTATAATGAACTGTAGTATCTCCTAATTCGGAACGCAGTTCCCTCTCCCACAAGGCCCCATCAGGTGCTTTTCCTAGCCTTTCTCTGATCCTCTCCCACTCTCTTATCCCTCTTCTCTTCCTTTTACCAAAAAGTCTTTAGCTGCTTTAGTATTTTAAAATTTTAACTTACCTTCCTTTTATCTTACTTAGGGTTTTAATTTATTTTTGTTGAACTTATAAATGAATTATTTTCCTTTGCCTTAAAACTTTTTTTTTCTTTGCTATTGGGCACATACGCTTGCCAGAGAGAGAGAGGCAGAAACAGAAAGAGAGAAAGTAAGAAATCTCCCCCACCTCCCACATCCAGGGTGGATGGCCATACCACAATCCCTTCTCCTCTATTTTGAGCATGCACTCACACATGCCCAGTGTGATTTTCAAGTCACTGGCTCCAGGATCCAAACCATGGTCAGCCATATGGGAGTCCAGTGCCTTAACCACTATTCCACTCACTGGCTCCAAGATGAATTCTTTTCTTTCTATTATTTTTTTTTAGAGAGATTTTAGCCATAGGGCATGTGTGCTACAGAGAGACAGAAAGAGACAAACAGAGTATGTGTGTGCTATGGAGAGACAGAGAGAGACAGAGAAACAGAAAGCAAGAAATCACCTCCCCCCACCCCCCCAGAGAGGATGACTACACCACAATCACTTTTCCTCTATTCTCTTGGGATCTTGGACACACACACACACACACACACACACACACGTGCCCACCGTGAATTTTAAGTCGCCAGGTCAAGGACTAGAAGTGGTTGACTACATGGGTATCCAGCAATGTAATCATTAAGTCATCTGCTGGTCCCTGATGAATTATTTTCTAAAGTTATAGTTTTCTGCTGTACAACAAGAATAACACAGTTTTACATTTTAAAAACAGTCTGAAAAAATAATAGTGGAATTTTATTGCTAGATGGAGGATTAATAATATTATGAAGGGGATTTCTAGAGCAAGATGTTGATTTGGTTCCTGGGATTTCAAAAATCTATTGCCCAAGGGAGGTGGTTTGCCAACCAGTGTAGAGCCTGAATGACAATGGATTAAGCAGACAATGGATCTGAACACGTGGTAATCGGAAAATGGAGGGTTGTCTGTTTGAGCTGCTATTACAAAAATATTATATGCTGGGAAAGTTATAAACAGCAGAAATTTATATCTCACTGTTCTGGAGACTGGGAAGTCCAAGATCAAGATGCTGACAAATTTAGTATCTAGTGAGGGCTCACTTTCTAATTCATAGATAGTTCCTTCCAGCTGTGTCATCACAGGGTAAAAGAACTAAGAGTCTTTCTGAGACCCCTTTTCTAGAGCATGAATCCCATGAGCTAGTGACCTAATTACCTCCCAAAGACCCTACCTCCTAATATTATCCCATTTGGAAGTATTAGGGGTTACATTTTTTTTTCTTAATTTGCCAGAGGGTGCATTTTTTTTTCTTAATTTGCTAGAGAGACACACAGAGAAAGAGAAACAGGGAAAGTGAGAAAGCACTGGGTGGCTTGGTAATTAAGATTTTAGCACAAGATTTTGAAGGAACACAAACATTCCATAGCAGGGATGCTTACTTTGTGATTCCAATGTGGATTTGCTGTCCTTTGCTGTGTAGGATCCCCTGTGTAATAGTGCCCCACTGGAGACCCAGAGCAGCAATTAATAGGTTGATACCCACACTGCTGAAGCCATATTTCTTCAGAAAGGTCATGAGAAAGCCAAACCCAACAAATATCATAACATGCACATCTTGGAATACTAGAAAAGGAAGAAGAAAACAAATCTGTGTTAGGTAAGCAGGAAAAAAGTGTTACATCATAGTATATCTCATTTACAAAATGCTTCTACCTTTGTATTAAACACTGCAAAAGGAGAGCATTAACTGGGAAGAAAAGGACTGATTTCAGTGCTAGCATGTATACTTTGAAGCCATGAGACCTTGACAAATTATTTAGAATTTAAGCCTTTTCTTGGAAATCTATGTACAATCATACCAATGTGCCTTTCACCCTCTCCTTGAAGAAGTTTTCATTATTTTCTGCCTGAGGAAAGCTTTGTAGAGCACAGTGTATGCAATGCTGCCTCTTACCAACTTACCCAGTACTTCCACAGAAAATTAATACTTCTTCTCGTCGTTTATGCAGCTTCTGACATATGAGGGGACTTTAAAAGTTTTATGGAAAGATGCAATTGAAGTATGACTTTATTTTAGAGCAAATTCTTTTGAAACCCTTGCATAGTTTTCTCATAATATGCATTTCCCATGAACTTCTTGGAGATCACTTATACTCCACAACTTTATCATTTGTCACATTAGCATACACCACACAGTAATAATCAATTAGTTGATATAGTATCCATCTCCTGCACAAATTGTGAGTTTCTTAATTGAAGGAGTTAAGACCTGAGTATATTCATCCTTTGCTCCCATGACCCTGGCATGACAGCCTGTATATAGGAGAGCAGGCAATTAATGTTTGGTGGTTGAATAAGCAAATGAATGCGATACAATCTCCATTTATCTAAGGTATAGATATATATTGGGTAATCGGAAAAGTCATGATGTCTTTTTCTTTTTTTTTTTTTCAATGCAAAAGTACATCATGATTTTTCCAATGACTCAATATTAACACCAGCCCTAGACATCTTACCAAATCATTATTTGTGTCAAATAGGATAATGTCTTTGTTAGTACTGCATAAATCACAAAACAAGTATAAAGTCTATGTCATCAAGAACAACAAATATTTGACTTGACATTTGGAGACATAGGCTTAGGTTCCTTGATTTCATCCCAGGATTGTGTGACCTGTGGCAGGTCACTTTTTCTCTTTGGGCTTCAATCTTTTCAAATGCATAATTGAAAGAGACCCTGTTTAATATGGCTACTCTGAGTCAGATTAACTGTGTGGGAGGATTTACATGCAGTAAAGTACTATACTAATAACACATACAACCCAATGCAAGTTTCCTAAGAAATTTACAATTTAAGTTGATGAGATATGTATTTGCATGGACCATGTGAAATTGACATTTTTGCATTGAAATCACCATTAAAAATGGTCAGTTACTGGCAATTTTTTTTTCTTTTTTTGGAGAGGTTTTGCTATAGGGCATGTGTGCTCGCTGGAAAGACAGAGAAAGAAAGAGACAGAAAGTGGGAAATCACCCCCTAGGGGGTTATGGCCACACCACTGCAATCCCTTCTCCTCCATTCTTCTCTCGGGATCTTGGGCACACAAGCACACACGCCCGGTGTTAGTTTAAGCCACCAGGTTCAGGACTCAAATTGCAGTCGACTACATGGGAGTCCAGCAACATAGCCATTATGCTAACTGCTGGTCTCAACTGGCAATTTCTTATGGTTCAACCTAAATTAAAATGGAATTGGGGGTACCAGCAGGTGGTATAATGGTTACATTGCTGGACTCCCATTTAAACAACTGAGGTTTGAGTCCCAGACCTAGTGGCTTTGGCTGAGCACATGTGATGTGTGCCCAAAATTCCCAAGAGGAGCATGGAGGAGAAGGGATTGTGGTGTGGCCATTCCTGTAGGGAATGATTTCTTGCTTTCTGTCTCTGTCTCTCCAGTGAGTGCATGTGCCCTATGGCAAAAATCTCTCTAATGAACAAATAAAATAAAACTGGGAACAAATACAAAACCGGATAAATAAAATAAGACATTTAACCATGTGGCTAGAGGTTTAAGTGGCTCTGGAGGCGGTGTGCTTTCACTCAGGCTTGTCTACTGCAGTGGACACAGTGAGGCACTGCCCATTTTCCCCCTACAGATCAGAGTGCTTATTGTTTTTATTTTCCCTTGCTGTTGGGAGAGCGGCTAGATGACAGCCCTAAGCTCTCAGTTCTCTAGAAAATGGTCTTATTTTGCTCTAGGTCATGCCTAATGCCCACAGTAGTCTGGTCGCAATGACTGATTCACACTGAGTCTCCCCTTGTCTTAGGAAAGGACCACCGGAAGCCTGACAGTCCTAGTTCAGAGTCCCTGTGGGGTCAGCACAGGCTTTCCTGTGTTCCCGTCCTCCCACAGGTATTGATTCTCACTCCACACCTACCCAGGGAATCTCACAACTGGGTTTTAGTCTGACCTGTGCATGGACGACTGTCACCTATTTAGAAGATAGGTGATTTTATATAGTCATTTTCCTTTATAAATTGTTTTGACACCATTTAGTTTTTATATGCAACTATCTGGTTTAGAGAATAGACTTATTTGGAGGGGAACTTAGAGAATATTTTGACTTTTACTAACTATGATTTTACTAACTCTTTCTGAGACTCAGTTTTCTCCTCTTCTAAGGAAGAGTTGAATTAGATGATGACCAAAGTGTCTTCTAGTTTTACAATTTGTTTCACGTGTTTTGTTTTGTTTTAGATTGTTCTCTGAGACTCAGAGAACTTGGGCGAATTGTTTGTAGTCACAAAGCTAAAATAAAAATAAGGACTCGGTTTTATTTACTTCACTGTTACTTTTCTCATTACAAAAAAGTTATTTTTTTTTGAACATTCTTTTCTTATTTTCTTAGAGTACATACTGTTTTCCCCCTGTAATGTACCAATTTAGTACTATGGTCCTTCTGATGGAAATCCTGATATTTTACACGGCGGGGGAAGAGTTTCACGTAGTGTATTAACTGTGCTCCAGTATCTTTGTTTCTCCCTCATCTAATTCTTGTTACTACTTTTCACCACAAGGGGGCTTAAGGATCTCCTCTATTGTACTATTCACAAAGTCGTGACGTGACAGATGATTCTGTATAAAAGGTATAGATAAAGAGGATAACAATGCATTAAGATCACGTATAGTCTTTCACACTGTTTTAGGGGTTTGTGGGTGGGGACCAGAGCCACAAGTTCAGTTTCATGGTATAAGGCTCTTCCATTAAAGGAATAAAGTATCCACTTTGTTAAAGAAAAAGTGGTTTCCTCCTCCAAAAGGGTTTGCTCTTTGGGGAAGCCTTCCCACAGGTCTTAAGGATTGTGGCGGCTTGTCTAAATCAGTAAATCTCAACAGAATATATCTGGCAATGTTTGGAGATATTTTTGGTCGTCACACCTTGAGAGGGAAAAGTGCTACTGATGCCCTGAGCATAGAGATGGGGATGCTGCTAAACACCCTGGAAAGCACAGGATGACCCCCACAACAAGAACTTACTTGGCTTAAATTGTTAATAGTGCTGCTTCTGAGAACCTTCACCTAAGTCAAACTATGCTTCCAAGGGTTCAGTAATGCTACAAAACTTTCCATTTCTTTTAGCATTTTAGACCAAACGAGAAAAAATGCTGCCTCAGTGTACTTGACCACTTTTGCCTGGTAGCACAGCAAATTTTGCAGTTTGTTTTCAGCCACGATAGTAGGAGTATGCTGGCAGGTGCCCAGCTTTTCCCTGCTCCTACCTCCCACCCACTGCTGCCCCTGAGGTCCTAGCCACATAGAGTTTTCACTTCAAGTTTTTTTCTAAAAACTGCTAACAGAAATAAATGGGGATACTAAAACATAAAAGTGGAGAAATCTCAAGGTCTTAGAATTCTACAGTGTTCTTAGAAATCCCCTTTCCCTGGTTAAGGTGAGTTTGTATCCTTGACATCTTAGGGAATCACTAGCTGATCAAGAAGACCTTGCTAGCTCTGTGGCAGCTAGCCATTCATATTCCGCTTGAATTGTCCAGCTGTGTGCCCTAAGATAATCAATGAATATCCCTGAGCCTCAGTTTGTTCATCGTCATAAAGCTCCATGGGGCATGGACTTCGTTTTACTGATCTCTTCCTATCTTCAGTGCCTAGGAGAGTGCATGTTAAATAAATGCAGAATAAACATGTGAAAACTCGGGTGTATACATAGCATTAAGTTTTTATGCTTTAGTACTGGTGTGTTCTAAGAACACTATCATATTCAAAATTATTTTTAAGAAAGGACATGATATTGAACCATTTTCAAATAGCCAAACCTGTTTCTTTGCCTATAAATTAGTGACATGATGAAAAACTCGACTTTATCAGGTGTGTAAACAAGGTCTCATCTCTCTCATTCATGTGTGTGTGTGTGTGTGTGTGTGTGTGTGTGTACACTCACGTATTTATACATATGAATATAAACACATTCACACATGTGCTTATATATACAGATACACATATACACATGCGTGTGTGTGTGTACACTCACGTGTATTTATACATATGAATATAAACACATTCACACATGTGCTTATATATACAGATACACATATACACATGCATGTGTGCATGTGTGTATTCATACATATATGTATATACAATACGCACATGTGTGTATATATATTTGTGTATATATATATACAACAAATATATATACACACACATATATAAAACTTTAAGTTCATGGTGCCTTTTCTTGAGAATCTCTAGTAACTTCTTTGAACCTTATGATATGTCCAGAGTACAGGCAAATAATCATTCACTTTGTTGTTTTCACTAAGTACCTTATTATCCAACAAAGAATATATTCTTCCCCTATAAAAGTTGATTGATGTTAGTGGAGACTAAAAAGTATTTTGAAAAATCTGTGGGAGACAATAGGTCCATGTGGACAGACATAGCCTACATTCTACCTGATAAACAACATTGCCCAGATAGTACAATAGTTAAAGGACAATTTCTGGAGGCAGACAACCAGGATTAGAACTCAATGAGGCTCTTTCAGCTATTAAACATTTGACTTTGGGAAAATTACTTAATCTTTTTTTCTTTTTAAGAATTATTTT